TCCACTGCTGCCATGAGAACCATCTATGTACTCAAAAGGACAATTTATATTTTGACATTGGGTATTAAAGGGTTAATTTTAGTTTATTTTAATTCAAGACCAAAGGAAGCCTCTGTTTTTCCCCTGTTTTGTGTTTAATTCTTTAATGGTTAATCCACCAACCATACAATTTTGGCCAATTTGAGAACAAGCTCAATCAGAATGCAAATAAGTCTTTTATGAAAAGTTGACTTGAGGCAGGTTTGGGAACCCTGTGATGTTTTGGTTGGGGTGTGAGCCCCTGGGAATCTGACACCCTTACCTTAGCCTACGAACAGGCTCCCGGCGAGGGCGAAAAAATAATCCAGCGAGGAAAGCGAGCCAACGAGCGCGAAAAACCGAATTTGGCGAGTAAAGCGATCGGGGCATGGCCCCACCCCACTTGCCTCACACGCCAAGTTCTTTGTTTTTCGGCTCTCGCCGGCAGCTTGTTCGCAGGCTACCCTTACCTTAGAGCGAACCACAATCGGCTTCATTTCACTGAAGTACCTCTCCTAGATTCGTTATTTTGCAGAAATTCTGTCATAGTTACAGTCAGCTGCTGTAAAGCAAGCTATGCTTTGTATTTCCATGTACATTGTCGGTTTGGTGTTAATTAAAAAATTTACATTTAGCCGGGGCGGATTTTGGAGAGGGAGGGAGGGGGGTGGTTGCAATAGGTGGCTAGCCACAACCCTTTTGGAGAAACAAAAAGAGAATTAAAAAGGTTCAGTATATTACGGCAGAAATAAAGGCAAACTCTCTGGACAGCTACCTCATTGTAATTTCTACTTTGTGGCATACACCTTATTCCAAAATGGCCGTCATTTTAGTATTCTTTTGTTTACTTGAAAATGAGCCCTTGTTGCCTCGTTCAAGGGAAAATATTCTTTTGAATTTCGAGTTTAAGAATGAGGCCACAAGGGCTAATTTGCAAGTAAACAAAAGAATACTTAAATGGCGGCCATTGTGGAATAAGGTGTATTGATAGTACTTCTAGTGAAGCGGTTTTCAATTACGCTCCAAGTGTCAAATTGCAACATATTGGGAACGTGCCCTCTCGATCCTGAAAAATCCTCCATCCACCGCTGTGTAGATCCTTCATACCACTAATCATTTCCCGGTGAGTATTATAAGATCGATCGTCACTGACGTCATTGTTTTACATTATAATAAAGAGCGTGTACGAAGAACCTACATTTTTTGAAGTCTGGCAAAATAAGTTCTTGTATTTTGGGGTAGTTATGGGCAATTTAGGTTCAGTAGGTTCTTAATTAGGTTCTTAATTTCTTTGAAGGAGACATAGTTGTTGATTACCAGAAAAAATAAATAAACTTGGGTTTGGTCCTTGAACATGTAGTATTTATTCACAACTGTGTAATGTACTTTCTTGAAATATAAATATGCAATCTCAAATTGACACTCTCTGGTTAAAATGTTTATCTTAAGTTAACGGTAACCCACATACAAGAACTGCTTGATCTTGCTTGGCTAAACAGGTTATTTTCGGGTATTAAAATAGCAAATTTCTGCCAGCAGGTTCTTAAACAACTAGTTTCTTACATGCGGTTTTTTCTGCCACATAGCCTGCCAGCAGCCTCACGTTGGAGCACAAGCGCGCGCGGCATAGCCGCGAGCGGATCGCTTTGCTCTTCGCCGCTCGCGCGTGTGACTTGAAGGTGAGCCTGCTCCCAGGCTAACTGTAACACAACTTTGCGCTGAATAGGTATGGTGCTTGATACGAATTGACTCCAAACATTTTTAGAGCTTTTGAAACTTAGTTATTGGCGAACTTTTTTGGCTCTTCGGGTCTAGAATTTGAGGAGAAATTGCCTTTCCTAAACTGCAAAATTTCTGAGTGGTAAAAGCGCTAATGAGCTTGGAACGTTCTTTGTAAAATATTCATAATAATTTTCAGTAAGCCCGCGTCGCATTACAAATCTAATATATTATTGTAAACAAAGATTCCACTGTTGCAGGGCAAAACCCTGATTTCTGCCGTACCACTACGTCTTTCTTCAGCAATATTTTCTCAGGAAGTCAGAAAATAACGTAAATTTATGTTTTAAAGAAAAGAAAATGTGGGTGATTACGATGGAATGTAAAAAAAGTACAAATTGTGAGGATCACCCAGTTCAGTGTTGCATTACTTGCTGAGTTTGTTCCTTTTCGGAGGTGCTTCGCTTCCAAAAACCATGACATGGTTACAGTCATTAATTACGATGATTTTAATGTTGACAATTCTTGCTTCCATTATTAATTATGAAATAAATTTTGACCTTGTCCCATGGGTCTCTTCCGTCGAGGTTCTACTGTGGCGCTTGTACAGTAATAAGCCAGCCCCAGTGTGGCGTTCCCCCCCCCTCCCCCCCCAAAAAGTCAAATGCCCCGGGGGATGGGGAACGAGCGGGCTTGAAATTGGGGGAACCCTTACCCTAAAGTTCCCGTTAATTGTAGAGATGTTCCCTAAAATTGATGCAAACAATATCCCTTGTAAATATTCTTGTTCTGCGGCCATTTCAATTTTAGAAGGAAAAGATAACAAACAGCAGTTACAAGCATTACAACTAGACAACGCTTGGTCTATGGAACGTCAAGTAAATATTGTTTGTTTTCTTTTCCTTATGACATATCCCTTGTTTCCTTGAGAACCCCTAACCCCTGGCAAGCTTTCTGTTGGGGGAAAGCGGTAGGCGACTATCTTATTTTTAGCATTGGCGTTCTGTGTTGCACTGGACAAATCAGTATTTATTTACGAATGAAAATGCTACGATCGGTATAGAATATTGTTTACAACGAGAGGACACAGAAGAGAACTTTCCGGCGTTCTCTGTCAATGAAATAAATTTAGGAATGAAAAACTATTTTGTCGCTGACCTGAGACAAGATCCGGATGTCGAATATTGCATCTCAGATGTAGGATGTCGAATATCTAAGGACGTGCTATAACAGATCACAACAACAAAACATATCGGATTCTCGGAAGTACGATTTCTAAAAAAGAAAAATCCCTCAGACGAAAATACGAAGTAGGTCAAAATGTTTTTCATCACACCCGCTTATTACATAAAGCAAACAATAAAAACTCGCGGTATTGTCAAGATTGAAGTGATCTGAAGTGTTCAGTGATGAAAAACGGAGATGCCTTCGAATGACAACACCTAACTGACATGGCATAATTACGTAACCTTCATACCAACATGATTACGTTATAAGTCATGTGACCCAACTAGAACAATTAAGGCGCCCACTAAGAAAATTCCAATAACGGAGGCTTTGGAAAAAAACAGTAAAGAACAAAAATTAGCGATAACACGTTTCGTTGACTTAGTTCATCATTTTGTTTTATAAGACTAAAAGTCAGATTCTTGCGAGTTTTTTTCTATATTAAGAATGCGTGTGAAAGTCTCGTTGCATGTGATTAAAAACTCTACAATGTGGAATGTAGAGAGTGTTAATTAAGTACCAAATAGTTTTGCTTTGATTGAGTCAGACTGAGTGTTCAGTTTAGGTTTCTTTACTTGGATAAAAAGCACTTCGTAAATGAAGCATTCAGATTTTCCACGACATTCTTAAGAATGGTAATATAAATAGGCCCCTTCTGATATATTAAAATTCAACTTAATAGTGAGGACTAAATGACACAAACAAAAGAAATGAATAAACATGGCCATTCAAGTGCCTTTGTTTGTGTCCTCTAGGCCTCACTGCCAAGCTGAATTTTAATATATCGAAACCAGTATATTGTTTCGGAATAACAAGCATTTCAATGAATACTTCGGCCACATTGTTATTTAGATCAAAATAATTTAAGTATGCGCTAAAGATAACGAAGGACATCGTCAAGGAACCGGTGAAGAAGCCGATCTCGTTTTCCTTACCACTCTGTAAGTCCACTCTGCTAGGTTTTTTTGGATATCGCCTCATTGTGGAGAAATCTTTTACGTTTGTTTTTTGGCACTCGCGCCCACCCCAGTCCCCGAGTAGTGACACCTGACTATCAACTTTCAGAGTCATGCAGAGGCATGCGAACACCCCATTCACAACAGAAATTTATCACTCAAAAACACTTACTGATCAACAATCATCGTATTGGTTAAGCCCCGAAATTGATAAATTTGTCGGTCGGCTTATTTCAAAAGCAGTGAATGACGCGCGATTTCTGCTCAACCAATGATTTCGTGTTTCGCTGCCGATCAGGAAAAGTCTTGACCCATTTTTCGTCTTTTTTACACAATCAGGGTTCGAGTTTTGCGTCGTAATTATGATTGACGGAAGATAAGCAACGCAATCGCTATTTAGAGTTCGCGTGTTTTTAAAAAAGCGCAGTTAGAAATGCAATGTCATACTACGGTCCAATACTTTATTTGTTTGTTGGTATAGCTGAATATAGAGTAAGGACTGAAGCCATTCCCTTTAAAACTGAAATTGGCATCGAAACTCCAGGAGTTGAACTGAAGACTGAGACATTATGCGCGAAACGCATTCTGTTAGCGACCTATTTCAGTGATCGAAAAATTTTCTTTTGTGACTGATCGTAAATTTTATTTTGTGACTCGACTAACTGTTATGTTGATGAGTTGAACGGCACATTAGCCATGAACAATCAAATTATATTGCTTGTGAAAATGAAGTAACAGAAACGTGCACGCTATCCCAACAAGTTAAACTACCAACATCACTTACTTGTCAGAACATGAACGAGTTGCCAACACCATCTTTTATCAATAGATAAGTGAGGCGTCTCGAGGAACTGTCCTAACTTAGAGTTACTATAAGGCGGGCTGATACAGATATTATCGACCGGGTAGATATTTATACATCATGCATGATATGCGGTGAACGTTTTTTAAAACATAATTACAAGGTTCACCTGTGTGATTAATAACTGACAGGCCTGAAATCCATCTGATTGGTTGAGCGGGTTTAATGGCCCTCCTTTGAAGGAGGAAAACAAGACTGAAAAGCTCTAACACAACATCCTTACGCCATTCATGTTCTCGGCGATCCAGTGGTGAGTCAGCATGAAGGTCCTCGGTCTAACGTTGTTGGTTGTGGCGGTGTTTCTGTCGGAGTCCAAAGCGGCTGAAATGAATGAGTATCAAATGGTGTCGCTAAACAACGGGGCTTACAACGTGCTGTGGAAATACGACATGTTAAAGGACACCTTTATGTTCAACGTCACTGTGAACGCGACCGGCTGGGTTGCATTTGGCGTGTCAAAATCCTTCGGACAGATGAATGGCTATGACGTGATCATTGGGAGCGTTGGAGGCATGCACATGAACGAGTCATACTCTAAGGTAGGTTAACTTAACTTTTTCGGGACTGTACTGGTTAAGGAACGCACTGTTTAGCGAGAGAAACTGGATGGGAAAAGCGCGCGGACACGGAAGTCGCTAGCTGGCAAGCTAGTTTGCTCAACTTACGCACGGACCATGAGGACTTTTGAGTCTGGAGAACGAAGTAAAAAGCTGCAAAGAACACATTTACCCTTCGTCTTAGTAGTCATTTGTGAACGGAAAAGAAGGAGAATCGATCGAATTGGAGTCATAATATATAGCTAACAACTAAGAGGGAAAAAGAGCATACCTTTTAGTTCGTATATATTGGTTGTTTTCGTTTGCGGTTTTTAAACTTTACACTATGCACAAACTTTAATGTTTATGGCAATCAGTTTAAAAAATAAATAACTTTCTTAGCTTTTTGCTGTCTTCTATTCGTACAGGATTATTTCACGAGAATGCGAGCCATGCCGATGCCAGATGCAGAGAATATGCAAAATATCATGCTGACTTCAGCTTCGGAAATGGACGGATACACAAACCTGGTGTTTCACAGGCAGAGAAAAACTGGTGACACCGTCACAGATGTGGAAATTATGGTATTAAATGTCACTAAACTAATACATCATATAGTTTACACTGAAAAGGGGCTTTTTTTCCATAAGTAGCGATACACAAATTACACTGAACTGTTGCGGTGATCTCGACTCAAAGAAGGCCTTGTGTTCAAGGGGGAATGGGCGACCGGCCGGCTGCTGCTATCATTAATTATCTACGAGGTTACTCATTCCCACCTCATTAAAATTTGTCTCTAAATCATCGATGGCCTTTAAAAGTGTGAAGGATGTCCGTTATAATCTTTTAGTGCTATGACTCTAAGAAAAGAATTCTGGCGTAGCTTGTAATTTCGCGCTCTCAGATCGTTTCGTTTCCCCGCGAATGTTTGTCGCGCAAGGTGGCTTGCGCAAATTTTCCATAACCTGCGATAAGGCGCTTTCCTTTCTTGGTCAAACGAGGAAAAAAGAGAAAATAACAAACGCCCGATTTCAGGTTGATTCTCTTTTACAAGCGTGACCGAGATCTTCAAATATACACTTCAATACAAACAATATTTCAGTTTTAAGGAGTGTTTAAAACTACGTGCGTTCGAACCTTAAACCTTCGAATGTGGCCATTCAAATGCAAGCTACCGAGAAATTTATTCTTGTAATTAATTAATTATATTTTCACTTTAATTGGGCACTCCCAGCCGTGGTTCGGTTTTTCGTGCAAGCACCGGCAGCATTTGTTGTTCCTGCGTGTATGTGACTCCCTTAAACGGTCAAAGATGATTGACAGCGACTCTAAAATAACCGTCTGAAAAACGACTAACAGACCGCAAATGACTTGCAGTAAATCATTACGTGAGTACGTAGCAACCGCATTATATTGGATGCCTGGCATGGAACTATCTCGAGTGTTATTAGCGTGGTACGTGTGTTTATCGTGCCCTTTGAATTGCGAATAAAAACCGATTTAGCAGCGCACTTGAGCCTCACTTGACGTCAATACGAAAAATTAAGTTTAGATTATTCTGATTATTCTATGTGGCATGTTAGAGCATGTTAAAATTTGGAAGCAAATCTTGGTTGTTACTAACAATGCACCGGATACATCGTAATATCACTAATATCGCATGAACATTTAGACGTTAATATCAATATCGCTTGTAATGAATGAATATTGCACGCGGCATCCATCTGCCATATTGGCTATGTGACGCAGCATATTTACCGCACAACGAATTACTATTTTTCACCACAAATTTCATAACGCACGCATGGTAGCGGAAAAAAACATTCCGTAAAATTCGCAGGAAATCAAGCTTCTTCACGAAAAATGTGTGAGATCCAATTTTCGCAGGCATGCTAGAAACGCTGAGACACATCTTGCGATAGAAGTGAACCGAACCGTTAAAGAAACAAATTAAGGTGGCTGACAATTGTTTCCAGCTCCTTCTATCACTTTGATGGATCAATGCTAGCACTCTTTGTAAAATGATCCTGTAATACTGATATCACACTAAAAGCAATCATTGTTGGGGTCTTTTTATATATCAGGTTACCATAGCAACAATACAACCTGTTGGAAACACCATTAATTTTAACTTGGTTGTCGTTTATGAAAAGGGTCTATAAGTTCTGTGGAGGGGAAGGGTTCTGGTTTTGTCCCATGTGACCGGGTCGTGCGAAGGGCCTATTGTCTATTTTCCGATTCCCCATGATTCACTCTGTTTGCCCCCAAATTATGCTCAAACTATTGTCGTAAAATGCTCTTGGGAATATGCAGACCTTTCAAGGGCATTTATAACAATAGCTTATGGAAAATTTGGGGGGCAAGTGGAGTGAATTATAGGGAATTGGAAATAGAGAATTAAAGACCAAAAACGCCAAGAAATTGCGGAGGGTTTCTCTCGATGTGGCAGTTAATCTCAAATCTCCTAAGTAAGAAATTCAGGAGCTGATGGTGTCTTTGGGATATCTTCTTCCCTAATGTAAAGTGTGATAATAGATACTTTTATAGACGCAGGGCAAGAATTGTTCAAAGTTTTGAGAACTCCTTTCGTTCTGACCAGTACTGATGTTTTTTCTTTTTTTTTTTTTAAATTCAAAGCCAGGTAAGATGTACCTAGTGTGGGCTTACCATTATACTAAGGATATCAATACGACTACTGGGGTCTTCATGCGACACAGCACCACAACGAGGGGAGGAATGGAGTACATGTTCATTGATGAAAAATACACCATTGTGGAGATAAATGACAAATACAGGCTGTATTGGGCTTATGACAGCTCAAAAGAAATGTTTTATTTTACGGTGGTGGTGCAAACCACTGGTTGGGTCGCATTTGGTGTGTCCACTCAGAGGGGCGGCATGAATGGCTATGATGTGATTGTTGGAGACAGCACAGGAGAGTTTTCGGTGAGAAAATTGATTTAAGTAAGAAGCCCTTGAACCCGGGGGGGAAGGGTACTCCCAGAAAAGTTGGGTAGGGGTGTGCGGCCCACTTTCCAAAACCCTTACCCTATTTATGACCAAAATCTGCGATTTTTACTACCCTATTTATGACCTGGCCAAAAATTCGATACCCTGTTTATGACCCTTGTGGCTGGTACAGTTGCCCTAAACATAAATTATGAAGGACTTTTGTTGACGGTCTTATTGATAATGATGAAAAAGTAGCTTCTTCTAAGAAACATACCCGATTTAAGACTAGAGTGCTAAAACCATACCCTATTTAAGACCAAAATGACCAAACTTGATACCCTATTTATGACCAAAATGGCTTAAAAACCCTACCCTTTGGGGCCGCTCATACCTGATAGCCCATATAAGGGAGTACCCCCCCCCCCCCACGGCCCTTGAAGTGACTTTACTAACAGTACTTGAGTTTTGTTGTCTCAAGTTCTTGAATACTTGAGACTACAGAATAAAACTGGAATATTGGCGTGCATACACAAACTGTAAGTCAAGAAGAAAAGGTTTCAGTTGACATCAGTATGAACCATGTTGGCTTGCCGCCAAGCATAATCGTCCGGTTTGTTAGCCCTGACTAACGTCCCGAGAAAAAGGAAGACATTATCTTCATAGCGATTGTCTTGACTCTGACTCTGACGCTCTCTCAGGCTAGAGCAGTTTTCAATTGAGAGTCACTAAATCCAAAGCCAAAACATCACTATGGGCAATTACGAGGAACACAGAAAATGCAGTGAAGCAATCAAAACTTAAAGGGATCAAGGAGAAATTAGGGTAAATTGAGAGGTTGTGTGAACCACGACCTTAGCAAGATACAAGAGAAAGTTGAACTACCATAATTCTTATTCCTATTATTTTCATTCCCATCTTCTTCAGGATTATTTGACTCGAGGAACAACGAGACCACCAAAGGATACAATTCAGAACGTCAATTTAACGAAGTACGAACAACGTGACGGTTACACATTGTTGACATTCCACCGTAAGAGAAACACCGGAGATGAAAGCGAAGACGTCGAAATAACGGTGAAGTGGTGGTTTTATTTTTTTTATTTTAAAAGAAGAGCTACCTTATGAGTGGCTTTTGATTTAGCAGCAGAAAATTAACAACAGAACTACACTGTATGTCAATGGCAAATTTCCTGTCTGAGACGCTCCTGCAGGGAAGCACGGTAGTTGTATTTCCAGTCCAAGATGATCAATACAACTACCATGATTCCCTTCAGGTGCGTCTTAGAGCCAGTATTAGCAGTGAGAGAAAAGATGTGAGGATTTTCAGCATTTTTCAACCAATCATTTTAGTTCAATTTACAAATGAAGCTTCGAACAGCAGCTCTCCTTATTCTCCTCTCGTTTTATCCCTCGCTCTCTCGTCCCAACTAACCGGGAGCCTGGAACAGACCGAGCTTGGGAGGCCTTGCAGGGGTCGACAAATTAACTCACAATTGCAACTAACATGTATACACTGATTCTAGAGGTTCTCTCTTTTTGTATTTTTCATTTTCAATGACGCTTTTCCGCATGCATCAGTAGCAGAAAGCAGAAAGAAACTCGAGGAACTGGGTAACTAACAAAAGTTTTATTCCTTTGTGTAGCCGGGAAAGATGAACATTGTTTGGGCTTACGGAACTGCTGATGTGCCTGCCGACGGCAACTTTGTTCAACACAGCCCACAAGCAAGAGGTGGAATGGAGTACACCTTTATAGAGGACACAAATGGAGGGAATGGATCCTCGTCTGTGTACACCCCATCCATCCTTGGCATCATAGCTTTGTTCTTGTTCCAACGTGTGATAGACGCGTAAACTGCATCAGAAATGTACACCGCTGACAGAGTCGCGTTTACCGAGCTGGTGATTGAATGAAAACGCTTGAAATGTGTGCTTCTTTAAACTGACGACTCGTTTCGCAATTTTCTTTTTTTTGGTAGAAAACAAGTCTTGTAGTATCTAAGTATGGTCGTTAAAGAGCAGCTAATTTTACTGAATTGTCGCACGCGTAAGGTAAGCTATTGAAAATGGAAAATAAAGGTAATTTTTTCATTGCTTTTATTTACTGACCTCGGAGTCTTCAATTCACGTATTCCTGACGGAATGGAGCTTCTAGTGTCACTCCAAACAATTTGGCTTTAAATCGTTGTTTTGTACCCAGCATTGACACAGCTCAGATGTTTAAAACGTCTAAATTTGAAGTGCGTCAAAGATCTATTTCGCAACCATTTTCTACTCCTTATTGCTAAAGAAAATTGTTTTAGTAAAGTTGTTTCTTTTGGCCCATAATTTCGTGTGCTTTGGGTGTTTCGCATTTATGTACTGAATACGTTTCTAAACTGCGTTAGTCCAGACAGATCAATCTGTTACGGCTGCTTTTAAAATTCGTCTTATGTGTTTCGTATACCTCTGGGCGAATAACACGTCTCAGAGAAATAGAAAGCTGAAACAATTATGTTCTATGCTTTGGATTTTAACCCCTTAAAGACCCCTTTCCTGGGATTCCGAGTCATTCTGAAAAATCTGACCGATTTCCGTACAACGCTGGAAACGTCGCTGGAAACCGGTATTGATCCACGCATGTGCATAACGATATCTGATGGAGGCTACCTCGTGCCCAGCGTCTTCGTTCCCCTTGACCAGCGATCGCAATTAGCGCTCGTTTCGTCAAGTCAGCATGCGCAGCGAGGAAGAAAGATTCAAGGTACGAGATTGAAGCTGTAATGCAACGTTCTTTGTTACTTGTCAACTGTCCGCTTTTGTTCTATTTTTGTTTTTTAATAACTGACCGAGCGACCAGGGGGATGGAAAACAAAGCATTCTATGGGGATGGCCCTAGATAACTAGCTATTCACTCTGAGTTCAGGTTGTGCTAATACTAGCTAATACCCAGATGACTCAGTCCCAGTCTTGTAGTATATTTACAATTCTTCAAAGCGACCAGCGTGCATTGATGAAGGGTTACTTTGGAGAATTTAGTCTTACATCACGACAATATGCCCTGGTTGATGAGTTTATGCATTCTTAGCACCTGTCTGCTTGATAATGATTCGTAAGAAGAATTAGACATTGAGCACTCTTGACACATTTTGGATTTGTGCTTGAGGAAAACTCGAACTGGGAAATCTCATGATTATCGTGACGGCATCTTTCTTGAAAAGCTCCGTTTTCAAAATGTTTTCCGTCCACACGAAAACGCAAAGCTCAAATTCCTCCGGTTTGAAGAGCTCCGTTTTCATTACGAATTGGTGCGGACGGTAGCCTTGAAGATGATTTCCTGCCCGTATTGCGCAGTCTCAGCACCGTAATGTTTATAAACATTATAAATCTCACTAGATGGAATGCAAATCGATGTTGTGTGTTACGAACCACATACCTTATCTTTGAGGCCTTTCAAATTCTTTTTTCCGACAGCGTCATTGATTTTTACAGCTGCGAAGTTTTCTCATCAAGTTATACGAGAAAGCACGAAGCATAAAGCTTCGACCGCTTCCGGTGCATACATAATGGCGGTTGTTTTGAAACTTTGAATTTACTTCATGTAAGTTGTTGCGAAATGTTTACATCTTGTGATGTCTTACATGAAACAAAACAAAAAACGCAACCAAACTCTCGAGAGTGCGCCAGGCCAGGCCTGAGAGTGCACAGTTACCTCACCTCACCTATCTTCTTCGCGCTCTGTTGCGCATAATGCCGCACTACTCTTCTTCCACTTGCTCCTGTCCTTAGCCAGAGCTCTCGCTTCTTCCCAGGACTTCCAGGGGAGTGCGCAGTGCGGACTGGAAATCATCTTTTACCGTGTGGACGGGGCCTTTAATGGCATCCAGAAGAAAAGCGTCCTGTGGAATGAAAGGACTGCAAAAAGATTCATGTTCACACAACAGCTACATTAGATTTATCAACAAAGCTTCAAACCACTTGGTATAATCTAATAAATTTCAAATTTTAAAATCAGTTAGAACAAATTCAACATAGACTTGTTTAAATAGAATGTTCGTCTAAATTTACCATACGTGCTTCACATTCTTTACTGATAAAAATAGATAGCCCTCACCTTTCAGTCTGTTTCACAGAGGATGGCTACGAAACGTACCACGTTCCTGATCACGATGTATTATGCACGCGCAGAGCCATTATACTGCTCATTACAGTCAACTCCCTCAAAGCGGACACCACTACCAATTGGACCCCTCCCTTAGAAAGATATGGCTTTCTCACCGGTCTCACAGAGGATGATGGTTAAAAGAATTAAGACGAAATCCGGTAGGAAATCGGGCAATTTCACTTTTTAGTGCCGGGACAAAAATATCTTGTGCCAGAATAATGTTAAGTGTATTAAAATCCTTTT